CTAGATATCAACTGGTAGGACCTTGATTATTAGATAGTTTTACAGTGAATTTCTTTTTGACTGTTAAAAAAATGATATTTATATTCACTGACATGTAAAGATTTCTCTGACATGTTGATGAGTAAAAAAAAAAGTAAAGCATGTACGATACGTTCCCATTTATAATAAATTTGTGTGTGCATGTGCAAGAAGTCTGTGGTGGCACAAATGGTTAAGCACTTGACTACTAGCTGAAAGACTGGTGGTTTGAATTCTCGCAGAGTTGCCGTAGGAGATAGGCCTGGCAATCCTGCTTCCGAAAGGTCACAGCTTTGAAAACCCTATGGAGCAGTTCTGTTCTGCACACGTGGGGTCGCCATGAGTCAGAATTGACTTGGTGGCAACTAACAACAACAATAACATGTGTGTGCATGTGCAGGCATGAAGAGATGTCTGGAAAGATGTTTCTTCCTATTGTTAATATGATCTCGGTTCTATTACATTATCTAATTACTTATTACTGATATAGGGGAACACTGTTGATTTTTTTAAAATGGACGCTATACTAGCCAAATTTGCTGAGCTAGCATACACTGACTTGGCTAAGACCTCAAGTACAATGTTATAGATTCAGGAATGGTGGGCGTCCTTGTGTCATTTTAATGGGCATACTTCTAAAATACACTTTGCTGTAGATTTTTGATACATAACCTTTTTCTATCAAGAAAGTTCTTTTTTATTCTTAATTCACAACTTTTTAAATCATACGTTTTGAATATCGATTTTTTTCTCCTTCAATTCATAAATGAGTATGTTACATCAATACACATTCAAATGGTAAAACTTCCTATTAAGAAAATGTTCTGCATCCTACTTTGGTGAGTGGCATCTAGGGTCTTAGACACTAGCAAGTGGCCATCTAAGATGCATCAATTTGTCCCAACCCACCTGGAGTAAAGCAGAATGAAGAACACCGAAGTCACAAGGAAAGCATTAGCCCAAGAGACAGGAAGGGCCACGTAAACCAGAGACTTCAACAGCCTGAGAGCAGAAGAACTAGATGGTGCCCCGCTACCACCAATGACCACCCTGACAGGGAACACAACAGAGAGTCACTGACAGAGCAGAAGAAAAGTGGGGTGCAGAACTCAAATTCTAATAAAAAGATCAGACTTAGTGGTCTGACAGACTGGAGGAATCCCAGAAAGCGTGGCCCCCAGACTCTCTGTCAACCCAGAATTAAAACCATTCCCGAGGCCAACTCTTCAGACAAAGATTAGACTGCACTATGGGACATAAAATGATGCTCATGAAGAGTGTGCTCCTTTGCTCAAGTAGATACGTGAGACAAAATGGGCAGCTCCTGTCCGGAGGTGAGATGAGAAGGCAGAGAGGGTCAGGAGCTGATTGAACAGACATGGGAAATCAAGGGTGGAAAGGAGGAGTGTGCTGTCACAGTATAGGGAGAGCAATTAGGGTCACATAACAATGTATGTATAAATTTTTATATGAGAGACTAACTTGAATTGTAAACTTTCACTCAAAGTACAACAATAAAATAATAACAATAATAAAACAAATGGTAAAACTTCCTAGAATTCCCTAGATGAGCCCAACTCACTTGTGACATACTTTTTTAAAAACATTGGGTTCAACATGGAAGTGAGATTGGCCTAAAATTTTCTTTACTTGAACTATCTTGGTTTGGACTTTGTATTAAAATTATACAAGCCTTGTAAAATAAGTCTGAGAGCTTTTCCTCTTTGTATATTCACCGAATTAGTTTATGTAAGGATTATTACACCTTGAGTGTTTGGTAAATTTATCTTTTTTAGGAGGCAAAAAGACTTTTGATTTTTTATCCATTCTTTAATGGTTATTGTATAGAGCTCTTTATTTCTTCTTAAGTCAATTTTAAAAATATGTACGTTTGAGTAAAATTATTGTTTTTGTCTAAACTTTCAATTTTTTTATTATAGTAGCAATTCATAATATTCATTTACATTATTATAATCTGTAGCATTTATATCCCCTTTATTATGCCTAATTTTGTTTATTTTTGACATTATTCTATTTTATTGTTCAATTTATTTTAACTTTTTATTATGAAAAAAACGTAAACATGTGAAAAAGTAGAGAGAATATTATAACAAACCTCCATTACCCACCACCTATCTTCAACAAATAACAATCCATGCCCAATCATGTTTTAGCTGTACCCCACACTACCTCCCACTCCCAAACTAGAATCACATTATTTCATCTATAAATATTTCAGTATGTATGTTTAGAAGGTAAGGAATCTTATTTAAAAAAATAATCCAGAACTATTATCACACCTAAACAATTAACAATAATTCCTTATATTATCAAATATGCAGCCAGAGTTCAAATTTTCTTTATTGCTTTATAAATATTTTTTATGGTTTCTAGTTTGAGTCAAGTTCTAAACAAGGTCAATAGAAAAATAGACAAAGGACATAAATAGGCAATTATCAGAAGGAGAAAACTGAATCCCAGCAACTAATAAAAAGATGCTCAACGTTATTAGTAATCAAGGAAATACAAATTAAAATTGCAATAAAGTACCTTTCACACTCATTAAATTTGACAAAAATTAAAAGGCATGGCAAGGATGTGAAGCAACAGGAACTCTCTTAACTGCTGGGGGGAGTTTAAATTGGCACAACCACTTTGGAAAGCAATTTGGTGCTATCTAGGAAAGTTAGCAACTACTAAATTTGAGATGTCATCCCACTTCTAAGATAAAACCTAGAGAAAGTATAACACTATACAATAAGGTGACATGTACAAGAATGTTTATTGTTGCATTGTATTTTGTAAACACTGGGGAAAATTAACTGTCAATCAAGTAGAGAATGAATACAAAAATTGATATAGCCCTATAATAGTGTTGTGGGCATCCTACAGAAGCAGCATGGACCACCTATTCAAAATTTGGTTCAGATATTTAGACTGATGATGCTCCTCGTGCACCACGAGGGTATGAAAACAGTTTATTACTCACATAATGAGGCCTTCTGGAGAAAGCAGGGAAGGCTCCCAAGGTGGTTCGAAATGGCTTGAGAGAGCAGAGAAAGGAGACTGGCTTGGGGTTTTTATGGTGGTTAGGGGTGGGGCAGGGTTGAAGGTTCCCACACATGCACTCAGGCTTGGGCTTGCTGGGTTGGAACTTCCAGCCAGTGCCAAAGGAGGGAGCACACAGGCTTCCTTTCTTATCAGCTTGTCCAGATATGGGACAGAAATAAGGGAGAATGGTGAGGCTTGAAAACTGTCCATAGTAAAACACCAAAAATGAAGTCAGACTCCTTATTACAAATGGAATGTTAAAAAAAAAAAAAAACTATTAATGATAAATATTAAGAAAAGGGTAAACAACAGAAGTTTTTTGAGGAATGATATATGTATAGATACATGTGGTATTTCCAGTAAAATACACATATTTGGGAACATTAAAAAAAGGTACTATATATTATTTATGAAGACATATGGTTTAGTAAAAATATGAAAATGTGTGTGGGAATGACAAGCATAGAGGAAAAAAGAATAGGATTAGGGATGATTACAAAGAAAGCTTGAAATATATTTGTAATGATGTGTCAAAGAAAACTACATCCAAATGTTGCAAAATGTACATGATAAAGCCAGGTAGTGGGTACAAAGGTTGTCAATATGTTATTCTTCTTTATATGTTTGAAATATTTTATTTTAAAAATTCAAAAAGACACACTTTGGAAGCTTTTATAGCCCAAAAGGCAAGGGTCTATCTTGCTTCCATGTCCCAAACTGAAGCCAAACCTGTTGCCGACGAGTCCATTCCGACTCGTAGTCACCCTATAAGACACAGAAGAGCTCCCCCATTGGGTTTCCCAGGAGCAGCCGGTGGATTCAAACTGCTAAACTTTTGGTTAGCAGCCGAGCTCTTAACCACTACACCACCAGTGCTTCTTCCATGCCCCAGAAGATGATACAAAATGGAGTCTCTGACCCATGCCTATTGCTACTCAGGGCTACATGGTCTTACCATTAAACCTGGTCATGCTGGTGCACGGCTGCAATGATGTCCTGCTCACCCAGATACCAGCACTTCCCCAGGAACCAGCTCATCTCCTTGTGCCACTGATATGGTTTCTAAATTTGCAACCTTTAGCATTTCTTTTTGTTCTCACACACAGTGACTTCCAAGAATACCAACTGGCTTTAGGAGCCTTAAGTAGAGCGTTCTAGTATCCCCCATATCATGGACCTAAAACTAACCTCCTTCTTTCCTTCCTTGGAATCACCTAGGGCAGCTTTTCCTTTTAAACCCCCACAACACTTAGGCTCTTCAATTTCCTCTTCAACTCCTCTTAAGGAGGTGACCTTCAATAATACTGGGGAATCTTCCCATAAACCCTCTGAAACAGGCTATTTTCAATGGATCTTAGGTGATTTGCCTGCTTAGGCAAAGTCCCTAATAGATTTTAGGATATCTAGACCTATTCCTCCAGGGAAGGATATGGCAGCTACTTGAATTTCTCCAAGGTGTCTCTCTTGTTGGAAAGGAGAAAAAAAAAAAAATTTTTGAAATGGCGTATCTTTGGCTATGTGTATTTTCACAAAAAAAAAAAAAAAATGTGTATTTAATTACTAGCAGGGCATTATAAAAAATATTTTAGCAAACAGGAAAATATAATTTATCTTTACTTTTTGGTAAAATGTATTTCATTTAATTTATGTTCTTCTTTATCCTTGCAGGTGCTCTTATCAAAAGTACATGTGTTCATAGAACTTGGTATTACTATAGTTTAAATTTTTTCCAACCCCTATTTCCTGGCAAAGCTGCAGGCTCTGCCTGGCTTGACTAGCAATGGAAGTGTTTTCTATTCAAATTTACTGTGAGCCGTAAAATCAAGACTGTGCAGTACCAAGACCTGAGCAGGAGACCCAAAAAGATAGTAATATCTTTTTATGTGCCTCAAACTATGATTCAAAAAAAAAAAAAAAGATAAAAATCTAGGATAAAGATCTAAGAAGCGGGGATGGGGGTGGAGGCAGGAAGCCAAGGGCTGGAAGCAGGAGCTTTGGAGACACAGAGAGAGGATTCTGAGGAGCATCCAGGGTTACATCTGCTGCTTCGGTTTTAAATCCCAACCATGTGCCAGAGCAGTGGATGGCTGGCCTGATCCATCATGATTGGGTTCAAACTGTTAAGCTGTAATTATGACTCTTCCCTGGAAAATAAAACAAGGACACTTTGAATATCTGAAAATCTGAAGATCAAGACATGTCAGATTCCAAAGGTGGTCTTTTAATTTACTTCCCAGTATTAAACCAAACTGGGGGGAGGGAACTTGTGAATATTCACTTGGAGAAGGGCATCTCCAGGTAATTAGGGCAGCCATTTGGACATCACGAAACCAAAAACCAAATCCATTGCTGTGGAGTCAATACCAACTCATAGAGACCCTATAGGACAGAATAGAACTGCCCCATAGGGTTTCCAAGGAGCAGCTGGTAGATTCAAACTGCTGACCTTTTGGTTTGCAGCCATAGCTCTTAACCACTTAACCACCAGGGTTTCCTTGAACATCACCATAGACTATTATCTTGGTTGGTTGGTTGGTTTGTTTATGGTGATCCTTCCTGGTATAAAGAATAGTATCTATGTTACCTAGTTTTAAGCAGCAAGTTGCAGTGTCCTCAGAAAAAGATTCACAATCCAAACGTCTTAAATGAGCAGCTGTTTTATGTGAGGCCAGATGCTGACAGAGGAAAATATGCACAGAGACAGAGGGAGAGAAAAGAAAAAGAGTTTTAAAAAACAAAAACCTTTCTGTCTTTCAGATATAAAGATTTTTTTTTTTTTAATAATTTTTTTTTCTAAATTACAGAAATTTCTACTCCATCACTTCCTTTGAAGCTTTATGTTGAGGTGGGTTGCCTCAACATAAATGTGGGTCCTTTGATGAGATTTTTCTATTTGGATTTATGATTTTGTTTCTAGGTCAGTATTTCCCTGTTTTTGAAAGATCTCAGGCCTCCGTTTCCTTCTCGTTGGCCTGCAGCGTTTCTGGATCTTTTATCTCACATTATACTGTTGACTCTGGCTGCTGGCACGGAGCTCAGCTGCCCGATGACTAATGCTTGAGCTTACACTCATCTCTGACTGCTGGCACTGATGTTGATCTCTGTCCTTAATTCTCATCACACACTCTCCTCAGTATCACATACTCTCTTTCTTTGTCTCTCTGTCTCTCTTTTGTATAGGACTTGGAAACCTAAAAGAATTTCCATCTCACTGCATCAATCCAAACCTATAAATTCCTTCTATATTCCATAAATGTTCATGTTGTTCTGTTGTAAGGGTGTGCTCTAGTATATAGATAGGCACCTTGCTTCCAAAGCAGTACATTCCTATGTCCACTCAAATTACTGTTCCCATCTTGATTGACTCATGTGGCACAAAAAATAAGCTTACATGCCAAAGTATGGGCAGATTCAAACGACTCCATTCACTTAAAAAATAATAACATGCATCACTGTGTTTTCTAAGGTGTTTCTTTTCTCATTTTTCTTGGCAAGGTGCATAAACCTCACCTGGCATTCTGTTTAATATACACATGTACAGGACAGTACAATAGTACAAAGGACGGCTGATGTTAGCCCCAACTACGTAACCCACAGGAGAGACACGAGCCGGGCACAGTAAAAAGGGAGAGGGATGAGAAACATTGCACAGTTTGTAATCATCATTGTCTGTGGTTGCCATGAGTGAGGGGCTGACTCTAAAGCAGCTAACAACTACGTGATATCCTTTTACCCTCTCCCTCTTCAATTTCCTTTCCTTTCTTTTTTTAAAGACTTTTCTTGTCCCTATCATCCCTAAACACTGCACACATACCCTAGCACGGCAAAATAATGTGTTGAAATATTACTGCCTCTGTTTGGTTTCCCCCTGAGTCTTCCACTTAAGCAGCTGGTTGGCCCTGAACTCCATTGCCTCCAATGAGGGATTTGGCCAGCAGGACTCAGACATCCAGGGAATTCCCCTGGCTAAGCCTAGAAAAAGGAGAAAATTCAAGAGTAAGGGGAAAAAAAATGCCTGGTTAGAAGTAGGAGCAAAGGAGTAGATGGCGCTCCCTCTCCCTCAAAACCAAGCAAACAACAATATATACATTGTTGTGTATATATAATATATATGTGTATATATATATATATAAATATATATATATATATATCCATCCTGGGGGAGAGAGGGCAGAGGGGCAAATGTAAGCCAGTTTCAAGAAATACGAAGATAGCAACCGACTGCTCCTTCAGGTTTATTAAAGAAAGTATGTGAAAGATTTACAAAGCAACCACAGTAAGATTAGTAGTAGTAGTATTTGTGAGAAATTTTCTGAATATCTTTTACCTTGTCTACATCTCTTCTATACTGAGGATATAAGAAAAACCACACCAAAAATATCCTACATACTTCAAAATATTTATTTTCATTAATTGTTATAACATGAAGTAAGAACATTGTGAACACTCTGAAATGTATACTCTGAGACCCTCAAGCCATGAGGCATTATTCTTAATTCAGTACGTTTGATTTCAAAGGCTCTCACTCTTACAGCTACAAAAGATTAATTTTCTGAATGGCGACATCCCCTTTCTTCATTATATTCAATTTTCCCATGACCTTCTAATGTTCTCACATGCATCTGACCCAAAACTGCGTACATTTGACTCCGTGGCTCTCAATCAAAGTGAAATAGTTGCAGATTGTTTTAGACATAGAAACCATTAAGCATTTAAAAGAAACTCCAGATCATGGTGCAATAAAAATCATTCAGATATTTTAGTGTGGTCTAATACATGCAGTGATTTCCTTCATTTAATTTAGAGAACTTCTTTGTTTATATACAAGAAGACATCTTTTTTTCTGTCAAAAATCACATGATGAATCAATCCACTTTTCTTTTTAAGGTTAGAATAGCACTTTTTCTGCACCTAGCTGAACTTACACACTTTCTTCCCATGTGAGTCCTCTCCTGCCAGGACGATGCTTGGCTTCCACACCTGCAACGACAGGGCAATTAATTATACCCACTTTAAAGAGAGCCCTTTCTTGCCTATAGATAATTAACTCCTAGTGCTTTGTAATCCTAGGTTCTTTTCCACACTACTGGAAAACTCTTGCCCAAGACCTCATCAAAGGCTACCTGGCCAATTATGCCTGGAGATACAGCAATTCTCTATCTATAGACCTGCAAATCTAGGCTTCTTTTCATTTACCCCTTAATTTATCTTATGTTTAAAAGCTCTGGAGCCCTGATGGCTCAGTGGTTAAGAGCTCGGCTGCTAAACAAAAGGTTGGCAGTTTGAATCCACCAGCTGCTCCTTGGAAACTCTATGGGGCAGTTCTACTCTGTCCTATAGGGTTGCTATGAGTCAGAATTAACAACAACATGTTTGGTTTGGTTTTTGGTGTAAATATTTTGGGTCTCTTTTTTTATGTTGTTGTTATCGTGTGCCATCAAGAGGATTCCGACTCAGAGTGACCCTATAGGACAGAATAGAACTGTGCAGTAGGGTTTCCTAGGCTGTAGTCTTTATGGGAGCAGATCGTCAGGTCTTTTTCATGTGGAGCTGATGGTGGGTTCCAGCTGCCAACCTTTTGGTTAGCAGCTGAGCGCTTAACCATTGTGCCACCAAGTTCCCTTAGCAATGATATAGAGAGGACATTTAGTAAATTTTAAACCAATCTATATTTTATTTCTCCTGAATACTATGTTTGCTTTTCGCCTTCTACCTCCAAGGCTGAGCCATGATGTGAATTTTCCCCATAGAGGACACCACCTAGCACTCACAAAATAAAGAAGATAATGTCAAATGTGGTAAGACAATCGCCTTGAAAAAAGCCAATCTTTGTTAAATTAGACAATCGATTTCTAAATTTCAGAGCTCTTCCTTCCATATAACAAGAGCTAAACCAGGAAGACTTGATCATTGAGTTTTATGTAAGCAGCAGTCCAGCCAGACAGGAAGAGGAAGTGGAAAGCCTGCCCCTGTTTCCTTGGTAGGAAGTAAAAGGGAGGCAGTAAGGTTGGAGATATCAGGAGCAAATGCCCTTGCTTTCCCCTTCTCTTTGGATAGAACCATCTATACATATTGCATGGGAAGCCAGACAAAAATCCACTTCCTCCTTCCCCCCTCAACACATCACCCTGATAGGAGCGGGAGGTTGACTAGCAGCATACTTCCCTGCACTTACTAAAGAAATGCTGTAACTGCTCACTTACCTGTGGTGCAGGGAAACAGCGCAAAAGGGGCAGCAGGAGTTGAGTAGGCAGCCAACCTGAGGCAGCACTTCTGGCTCTGCACGGTTTGTGTGGCATACAGGGAATTCAAAAGTGCTCTAGTTATGGGCTGCAAGGGTGCTGAGAAGGTCAGTGGATGGTAAAAGCCAAGAATTGGGAGAAGACGATATTTTGCACAGGGATTTATACGCTGGAGAATATTGCCCAGGACCACACATACTCTCTGAGAGTAGGGCTTATACCATGGTAATCTGCTTTGTCAAAGAGTACCCATAACTTGGAGACACAGCCTCCACCCCAAATGATCACTTGGTTTCTCAGCAGAGTAGGTATCCATTCCATCTTGCACCCATACCAATACCCTAAAGTTCCAACATTGGAGGAATGAGGGTAGAGGATGTCTTACGTCCCAATAGAAAGGCAAATCATGGGTTTCTCAGCCTAAATGGAGGTAATAGTGGATCCTGGGATCTCAGATGGCTTGGAGGAACCAGGCGCTGGTCTGACAAGTCCAGCTTTTTACTTGGTCTAAGCCCACATGGGAATGCTGTTTAGAAGGTCTCCTAAACTATGGAAACTCCCCCATCAAGTTGTGCGATGGGAACATACCAAGAAGCTAGTACTGTCAGTGACTATTGCTGGCTTGGCTCCTGATTGGAAGGTCATAACCCAGCCCTGTTCTGGAAACTCATTTCTATTTCCTACCGTGACTACAACCTAACTGCCACTTCCGTGCTTCTTATTCTACATAAGGATACCCGCTAATAGGTGATTCTAGACATGGAGTCAGAAAACATAATTCATAATGCGGAAATAACTATACGATTGACCTGGGGCCCAAGACCTAGATTCCAGCCAAACATCTTTAATTCATTTGGGAATCAGGAGGGCTATTTAGAATGTTCTTCTTTCTCCCCACCTCCTTGCTACTTACATATGACTTATGCTTCAAGACAAGTGTCAGTATCCTCTAGGAATTCTTGCCCAATATCCTTTACCAAAAGTAAGTTAAGTATCATTCATTCTTCACTCTATGCATATTTCTATAATAGCACTTCCTCATTCTATGTTATAATTGTCTGCAAACTTGCTTATTTTCCTTCTGGATTTAGAAAGAATGGGTCCTTTATTCGGTATGCTTAAATCTTCGCATCATGCCTTGATATTATAAAGTCTCAATATATGTTGTTGCATGACTAAATGAAGGATTGATTGAACAAATGAATTAATGTGCAACAGTTCCAGTTGTCAGTACCAATATTAGAGATTTAAAGTGCTTGTAAATTTGGAAGAAGTTTTGCTTTAAAGCATGAAAGGATGTGATCATGCCAAAGACTCCGCTATGCACATTATTTTGCTCGAAGGGAGCTTTAAGCTAAGTTGGAGATTAACAAAATAAATAAAATAACCCTGAATGAGTTTCAGATACACGTGAATAACACAAAACACGCGGCACTAAGATGGTATGTATCTTATTGGAACAAATCAAGAGAGGTAATTTAATGGTCTGCTGAGTTATATGTCATTTTCCCCTGGTGAGGTCCTCTTTGTGGTGTCATTTCATTACCTTTACCTGTTCACTCTTTAATCAATTGTCACGGAGCTCCAGGGCTCTATGGAGTGAATATAAAGCTATCAAACTAATTCTGGAGTCTGGACGCTGTCTGAGTAAATCCCCATTTAACACTACTGTTAAGACCCAAAGCAACAAGGCTTTGAAAATGGGGATGTTGGAAAAGAGAGTGGGGGAGGCCACAGTTACTACTGCAAATATTGGACAAATAAATACCTCCCTATAAAGTCAGTGGGTTATTTTTGGTAGCAGTTTATTATAAACAAAGCAGTGTTTTGGCTGAAAGGGCATAGCACTTGGAACCAACACCTAGTGGGAATACTTTTTATTATAAACTATGCACTACTGTATAGACACGGGAGCCTATCCATATACATGGATGAATAATTTCTATTTTAAGCTGTCCTTAAAACTATTTTTAACTTTAATCTAATATTATTTAATATTTTAAGCCAGCCCTATTTGAAATTTCAATGCAGCCATGCCATTTTTTTTCTCCTAACACGCTGTTCAATTTACGTCTATTTTCTTTCTCTGCTCATTAGAATGTCAGCTCTATGACATCTTATTCAGTACTTAGAACAGGGCCTAGGGATAGTAGTTTCTCAACAAATACTTGTTGAATGAATGAAATTTATACGAAAACACACATCCCCTTGCCGCCTCATCTTTCTCATCATTTTACTTTCTTCCTCCCATCCCTCTGCATTCCTTACATTGCTTTCTTTGTGTTCAATTTCCGATCTTCTATTAATTTTCAGATTTTACAGTCAGGCCAATACCAAACATGTTCCCAAGCGTGAGTTTTTTGCTTAATATCAAAGAAACTAAATATGAGGCACTTATACATACTCGTTCTACTCAATAACAAAACAATTCCATGGGATCAGAAAGTAAAACTGGTTATGTGGCAACATGTAGAACAAATTCTACTCCAACATAAGCACACACATGCATACATGACACCCCCTTGGTTGTTCGATTTTTTCTTTTACTTTTTTTTAACAATCTATGTTGATACTATGTAAACATTAACTTACTTTATCAACATTGGGAATTTGGTTTCTTAGTGGCATACTGGTTAAGCTCTTGGCACACAGCTGCTAACCGAAAGGTTGGTGGTTTGAACCCACCAGCCGCTCTGTGGGAGAAAGGTGTGGTAGTCTGCTTCTGTAAAGATTACAGCCTTGGAAACCCTGTGGGGCAGTCCTACTCCATCCTACAGGGTCACTATGAGTCAGAATCAACTCCACAGCAACAGGTAGCAGTAGTTTCTAAGAAAATCCTTGGGGCTCCTCCGCCTTTATCCAACAAAGTTTTAAGTAGATATTAGCATTAGCACTTCAACATGAAATACTTCTAGAAATGATGGCTTTTGGGACTCTTAAAAACTAGTTGCCATAGAGTTGACTCCGAAACATGGCGACCTCTTGTGCGTTGAAGTAGAACCGTGCTCTATTGGGTCTTCCATGGCTGATTTTTTAGAAATAGATTGCCAGGCCTTTCTTCCCAGGTGCCTCTGAGTGGACTCAAACTTCCAGCATTTCTGTTAGCAGCCAAACCCTTTAACCATTTGCACCACCCAGAGACTCCACTTAGACTCTTACTACCACCTAAATCAAACAATACAGCAAGGTAGGTACTAGCCCTTAAGGACATGCTAGGCCCCTAGGCACTGAACACTTAGAACACTTGAAGACTTGACAGGGTATTTAAACAGCTCGCACAAGCTGATATGAGGATTGCTTAACTTGCAAAGTATCTAGTGGAAGGCTTGACGTCTGCTGAATTGGATATCAGAAACCTGGAAAGCCAGGCATCCTATTTTAGTCCTTGTTCACAGTGACAGGCCTCATAGCTCTGAGCAACTCTGCACCTTTCTTCAGAAGTAGGAGCAATGATGCCCATTGACCTCAGATGTGCGGTGAGAATTAATATTTTGAAAATGTCTTCAGTCCTAGACCTGTACGGCATTTCTTCTTGCAAAATGTTTTTCCAATCCAGAACTTTGAGTCAGAAATCTTTAAATTTAAAAAATTATTGTTTGTGTGTGTATGTGTGAGTGTGTGTGTGTGTGTGTATGTGTGAGTGTGTGTGTGTCCGCCTCTCTTGTGTGGCTTTCTCATATTGCTGATTTACAAAGAAACTATTTTCCCTTGCTATTTCCACAACCTTTATGTACTAATAGATCTGTTAACATTTTTTTTTTCTTTTTTGGCTTGTCAGGGAAATTCCTGAATGACATTCTAATGAACTTCAGAAGTAACTGGTCAGCACATCTCAATTCTAGATCATTACAGTCACTGTTTGTCTTTCCAAAAGGCTCTGAAATACTTACAGGTTGACATGTGAGGGGAAGAGGGAGTGCTTATTCATTAGATGAACATTTTACTTTTATAATGAAGAGATATTCATAGAGGGGGATATCCATCAGATCTTACAATGAAGGTACCCTGAGGACTGGGATTTTGCTTGGTTCATCTCTGTGAGCCACACGGAAACTAGCATAGAGTTTTGT